TTTTTATAGAAAAATCTCAGTGTGCCACCAAACATTTAACAATAATCCTAAACCACTTTAGTTTCTCTGTAAAGGGAAGCCAATGCTCAATAAATAATGTTCCAGTATCTTATTTTGTTTGGGAATGACCCACCTGAATAAAAATTTTCACTATTTAACTTAAGCACAACTCTAAAATTTCAAGTTACCAGGTACCCAGAGAGATTATTTTTAAGTAGACATTCCTAAAACAGAGTTATTTCCAATGAGTTCCAAAAAGTCTTATGTTATCTGCATTTAACTTACTTTTAAGAACTTTGCATTACCAAGTTAATTTGTTTTTTCTTTCTGACAAACTCTGCAACAGAAACGTGAACCTACTGACCTTCAGTAAACCCAGGTACAATAAAAGCCATGTCTGTGTTGATTATATCAACAAGCTTAAGCTAGCTTTCATGTCAGATATTAATTTAATATTGAATATTCCCTAGATCACATGAGCCTAAAGTTTATTGTAGTAAGCACTTACAAATGAAATGCATCTAAGTATAAAAGGAGCTAACTTTTAAGTCGATTAAATACAGATTTCACATGTTAATTTTTACCTAAAGACAGACCCAGAGATCTCACAGTTTTTCTGCCTGAATGTAAAAAAAAGCCTTTTTCTTTGAGAGCCCAGGTAGATGATTTACATCTCAAAGGCACAGGAAAAGAAATGCAACTTCCTCCTCTACTGACTTATACAAAACCCAGTCATCTTGGCTATTTTCAGGGATTTTTTTTCCCCAGTTCCCAAATATCCACTTCAGTTTAAAGAAATAACAATAATAGACAATTTTATATGTATTTTATATATATATACATATATATAAAGATAGTTTATATTTGCTTCTTTATATATATATATAACATCTCATTCACTCACATTCAGATGCGTAATTTGCAGCAAAACTAGTAATAGAGAATGGGATTTGGACTCAGGTACCAAGACACACACACACACACACACACACACACACACACACACACACACACACACACACACACACACACACACACACACACACACACACACACACACACACGATAGAAGCCAAATTGCAAAAGACCCACTCTGATACAATAGCAGGGCCATCAGGGCTACTGCTCTCCAGACCTCAGGGAGCACTCCAGACCTCACTGAGTAACACACAGCGCTACAGCAAAAACACCATTTTCTTTCATTTAGGGAGCACAGCTGAGGAGCTCCCAGTTTTGCAACATCTACTCCAGGAGGAACAAGACGGAACAGAGCTCTGATCATCCACACTTAATTATTCATGGCCAGCGTTATCAACTATCAAGCAATAACAATTCAAAATGGTCTCGCAGGGTCACAGTCCCCTAGCCCCGAGGAGATCTCTAACCAATGCCCCGACAGTCCAAAAGGGGAGAACCTCAGCCAGTGCTCCATCAGAGAGGAAGCGGAACGAGAGGCCAAGGCTAGAGAAGGCAAATCCCACCGCGGTCCACCACAGGTGAAGCCAGCGCGGTAGGAAGGTAGCCCCACCCTGGGGCCGTCACACGTGAGCCCCGCTACTCAAAGACATCGCAACCAGCCAGTGCAAGTACTGATATATATACACACACATACACACACATGGTCCCACAAACAAAAGATCAGACAAGGTCTGGCCCCCAGATTCCATTTCCACTCCCAGAAGGAGGCCTCCAAGCAGACGGGCCCAGCTCTCAGAAGAGAAAGGACTCAGAGCGGCTCCCAGTGAGCCCAGAATGGCTCCCTCCCCGCGAGGGGGAGCCCAGCTGGAGTGGGTAGAATGTTCCCATCCTGCGCAAGCCTGAGCAGCTCACCCCAAAACCATCCACGCAAAACACAGACAGCAAACAAGCTAAGGTCGCAGAGACAATCAGAGGAGGTGCAGTCTAAAAATTCCACTTCCACTCCCAAATAGAGGCCACCAAACAGACGGGCCCAGCTCTCGAAAGATAATGGACCCAGAGTGGCTCCCAATGAGCCCAGCCGGAGTGGAGAGAATTCCCAGCCTGCAGGAGCTGGAGCAACTCACCCTCAGGCGACGCTGCTGAGTGGGGACCACAGCTCTGGAAGTTTCTCGGCTCCAAACAGCCTCGAGCCGATGGGCGGCCAGCGCCTGTTGGGGACAGTCCCTCCTGGTTCCCCGGAGCGACGTGAGCTCTGGCAGCTGCAGGGGCCCAGGGCGGGGGCTGCCCCTGGCTGGGGTCGACCTGCCACAGCACAGACTCCTGCGCTGCCTCCACCAAAATTGTTACCAAAGGGAAGATCGTATGCCTGCTGCACCCTGAGGCCAAACAAACAGAAAACTCGGAGTTTGGAGCAGAGAGAGGCTATTGCAGGGCCGAGCAAAGAGGATTGGGTGGCTCCTGCCCAAGAAAACCCCAGACTCCCACCCGGAAGGGTTTCAGCTGAGCATATTTAAGGGCGGGTAGGGGAGGGTGGGGGGGTGTCGCAGGTACATGGTCAGCTGTGCACAATTGTCTAGTTGATGTGGAGGGAACAGGGCAGTCAACACTGCCAAGCCCTGGGCGCCAGGAGGTCTCAGGGCCACGTGCTCTCAGTCATGAAGCAGTTGATTTCTTCCCTTGGGTGGTGGTTTTTAGCATCTGAAAAGCTCAGGACATACACATGAGATACTATGATCCGGGTCCTTCAGAGAGGAGCCGCCGCAGAGGGTCTGGGGCAGGGGTCTGACCCTGGAAGGCCCCACCGGGTCCTGCTCGGTTACATCAGCTTACAATTATGTAAATGTTTTAAGTCATTATAACCGTCCCCATACCGTGGCTCACATCATCAGGTCACTAGGCAACTTGATCTAAACTATTTTGGAAAATAAAAAAAGGTTCTAGTGTTGAAATATGCTGACCATGAATGTGGTTCTTCACTTAAAATGCAAAAACCTCGCTTTTCTTTTTTTCATTCAATTTGCGAAAGCCAGTAGAATTTTGGCAATTTCTACAGAGAAGTAGGTTTTCTTCTTTGCGAGTCTTACCTGACTGAGAGCTGATGCTTAAGAAGCCTGGAGCTGGGAGGCCTCGTTTGCTGTCACCAAAAGCCTAAGTGGAAAAACTCTGAAGTTGCCTCCTTGCCTTTTCTTTTATGTGTGTATTTAATTTTTGCTTTTTTTTTAAGTGCAGGTGAGACTCGTATAGCATCCAGCGGTTTGCCTGGACTTACCATTATGTATCTATTTCGATGGCACCAAGCACCAGGGGGATCACGTGACACCTCTGGCTGCCCCCCAGTTGGAGGAGGGCAGGTGTATGATGTGATGAGGTGCCCGCAATTTGGTCAGCTTTGTGGTTTCTCCTCGAGAGAAGCCTAGGCAATTCCCGGTTAATGGAAATTAATCTGAAGTTTGAAATTTACCCAAATCCTACAACCGACGCTTAAATTTGTAATTAGTCTAGCTTTGTGAGTTGTTCTCTCTCTCTCCATGAGCCAAAGGGAGCAGTTGTGGAGCAGGTTATGAAGGAGGTGGGGATCCTGGGCTCACCTATCCTGGATGGAGAAGAAGAATGCATTTTCATCCTCCAGGAGGAAAAAAACTCAGAAGCAGGAAGGCCTTAGACTAAATGGTGAAATTTTCCCCAAGAACACCTCCCCACGGAAAGCGCAGAGCTGCGAGAACAAGCGCAGCTCCACTTAAATCTCAGCTCTAATCCCTGCCTACTAGCTGTGTGTGCTCGCCCAAGAAGCTCAACCTCTCTGGGCCTCAGTGTCCTCATTGCTTTAACAAGGATGTTAATAGCGCCTTCTCCATCCGGTGGTTGTTAGGATTAAGTTACTTAATACTTATAAAAAACACTTAGGACCATGTTTAAAACTTAGTGCACAATCAGTATTCGTTAAAAGAGAAAATATGACAGCGCAAGCCATGGTTCAGAATGGAAATTTTTCTCAGCGTTTCCAATGGTGAAAAACAGTTATTTGAAATTTGCCAGAGCAATTGGCATTTTTCTGAGACCCCATATCCTTGGTAACTTTGTGCCCTGAAACCCTATAGAGCTTGGTGGATTAAACTAAATTTAGAGTCAGATGAAACCTGAATTGGAATTACCAGCTCAGTGATTCATTAGCTTTAAAATCCAGCCTCAATTTCTTTATCTGTAAGAGAGATCAGGGGCCAAATCTGGCCCACCACCTGTGGTTGTAAGTAAAGTTTTGTCCAATCAGGACCGCCCCATTTGTTTTCACACGCTCTGTGGCTGCTTTTGTAGTAAGGGCAGGGTTGCAGAGTGGAGACCGAGACTCTGTCCCACAAGGCCAAAAATATTTACTATCTGGCCTTTTACGGAATATTACTCGCCAACTCCTGATCTATGACATGAGAATAATAATATCTCAATCTGTTTTTTTGGGACTGAGATAATATATAAGGCAGAACCCTACACATAGTTTCAATAGAGTTAACTATTTCACACAGAGAATCAAAATATAAAACTTGCTCTTTTTGTTCGTTTTGTTGGCTTGTTTTTCGGTCTTTTTCTATCTTCTCTCCACCTCGGGCCATTTTGTCCAAAACCAGGAGCTCGGCTTCCTCTGACCTGGATTAGAATGAGAATAGAGGACCTGCTGCCCCACCACACCTGTCTGTTTTGACGATTTCCACGGCTCTGTGCATCCAAAGCATCCGGGCTTACGTCCCACTGTTTGCGAACCTTTGGTTTCTATCTCAGAGACTCTACCGTGGTCATCCAGGGAGCCCGCCCCAAAATTCTCGCACTGATTTGTTTTCAATTTTTAATTTTTTTATTTAGAAATAATAAAATAAGACATAATATATAAAAATATGTACAATCCATGGTTTGTGCAGTACATCAGGAAGACTTTAGATACAAAAAGACAGCGGACGGGAAAGTATAGCGATCACGATTGTCAAAGGCCGGGATTGTTCAATTCACCAGAGCCCAGAGCTGAGACCCAACATAACTAGAAAAGAGATTCTCGTTGGGAGTGAGTGACTATGCAACACTTTTTTTTTTTCAACCTTAACATTATTAGACAGAGTGAAAAAGCACTCTGCTTCTCAGAACAAGCTTTTTGCCTTTATCGAGTGGCTTATAAAATAGGAACCGACATTGTTTTTTTGCGAGGGTCATGTGATTTGGGGAACAGAACTCACAGAAGAAACATTGAGGTTTGGGATGGGAGTTTATAGGGAAGGAAAAAAGCGAAGAGAAGAAATAATGCATTAATAGAATTAAAAAAAAAAAAAAGGTTAAACACACTTTCTCCAGGAATTTGGAAATGACTACAGTGCTATGGTGACATCCTTAAAATGTCTGATTCAAGTATACTCTTAGAGGGATAGAAAACTATTCCTTCCTCAATAATCAAAATAGAATTCACTTTGTCTACCTTTTATTTAAAAATAGGATAACCAGGAATCTATGCCTCCTCCGGAAAATAGAATGCCCATCCAGATACGGGCGAAAATTCTTTAAAAGGGAGTAATTCCTAAGTTAGTTCAGCAGGGGGTTTGCCTGCAACGGAGAAGAAACACGGATAAGTCTCTTCAATCTGAATTCTAACGGCATGTGTGCACTAATTAAGGAGACCCAGTCAATAAGGACAAATGTTTTGAACGTAAAATGCAGCAAAAAAATAATAATAATAAACATTGTGCATTACCTGTGTCTTGGCTCTTGACAAAAAAAAATTGCCATTTAAAGCTTGTAACTGTTAAAATACTAATAACTAGAAAAAGCTTTCAAATGAACAGTCCATGCTGAAATAAATAACAGAACATAGCAATACGAACCTTATAAGGCTGGTAAATATTTGCTAAAACCATGCTAACCGGTAGCATATAGGTACTAGCTCTCAGACATTGCTGCACTGAAATTATACTTTCTATGGCAATTTTTTTTCCTTTACAGACTTCTATTTACATTTGGCTTTAAATATGAAAATATTTGATAAACTTTATAAAATGTACATTTTAAAAACATAGCTTCTGCAAAATTTTCTTAGAAAAAAAAAAAACAAACCTGTGCACCAGAAATTTTAGATTTTTTTTCTCTTTTTCAGAAAGAAGTTGAAAGATTTCCCTCCCTCATTCTCGCCCCCCTACCCACCCCCTTGCAAATATCTCAAGTCTTTTTTAAGTGGCAGCACTGTGTGATGGAAGGTGGTCACCCCCCCTTCTCCACTGCATCTTCCTTTAATTTACGTTATCACTGAATACTCTTTGGTTTGATTATTTTCCTTTGCAAAAATATCAAAATAGCAGCAGCTGAAGCCTTTGATATCCTCACACTGACAACGGCCGAACGGTGGCCATTTACAGGAGACCGTAAATGCTTTTGTCCCACTCGATCGCAACCCCTCCAACTCTCTCAACAACTTCCCAAATCTGCCTTTATATTTGGACTTAAACTAGCATCCTCTTGCTTGACAGCTCTAACCTGGTTTCCATGAAAATAACGCCACATCGACTTTGAAGGCTGAGAACAGCAGAGACTGTCACGTCATTGCAGGCACCGCATTCAGATATGGCTATTCAAGAACCAGAGACCATCACAGACGTCAGTTTACAAAAATACAGGATTCTAGAACAAGCTGTTTTTTAATGGCATACAGGGACATAATACCATAAGAGAGTTGATTTTGAGACTCCAATTAAAAAGAAAAGTCAGCAACCCCAGAATTCACAAACAAGGAACTTTAAACCAAAATAGAGGTCCATTATATTGAGCTCGAGCGGAAACCAAACAAAACAAAACAATGTTTCTAGTAAGTCAGGCAGCCAGGCAGGAGAGGCTTCTGGAAAACAAACGTGTCTTAAGTAATCTGCTCTCGGGCTCCCCAGGCTAAAGGGATCAGCTCAGACTGAATCATGAGTGTGCATGAGTGTCCCCTTGTAGACCAGCATCTCCTCCACTTGGGACTGTTAGAATCTGTAAGGCTCTTGTTGACCCTAAAATATTGAGGCATTTGCATTCCTATCGTCTACCATTTAACAAAAGCACCCTCCCCCTCCCTTCCTGAACACTGAGCTGATGAGCTACTGCATGGAAATGGCTTGTCCTCATCTCCGCCACCTTCCTGCCTTGGCACGGGCTGCTCTCTCAGGCTCAGGCACTGGAAGACTCGCTCCAGACAGACTGATGGGAGGAACGCGCCTAGAGGCCAGGCGTGGCATCTTTTTGAAGATGGAGATGTACTGACAGTCAGAGCAAGGAATTCAGCCGCGAGGGTTTAAACCTCTTAATCTTTCATGTTGGGCGGCTCAGTGTGTCGAGGATGCCGGACTCCCTTCAACCTAGGTCTTATCTTACGGGATAGCTTTTGGAATGTGCAAACATGGAGAAACCCAGAGAAAAATCTAAGAGCACATCACCATCTCTCAACTTACGTGTTCGCCTGGCCAGCGCCACCTCGAAGGAAAGGAAAAGATGTTTATAGCTCGTGTGTGAATTTTACTTCCCTGGTCTTCTTCCTCCCAGAATACGGAAGTTACAGGAAAGACCAAAAATTTAAAACCACGACAGTCAACTAAACCGTGTGTGTATGATATTCTATTTTCCGAGTAAGGTGCAAAGGGCAGTTCAAGGTCTTGCTGAGGTTCAAAGTTATTGTCTCTTGATTTCAAGGCAGCTGTGGGGCTTTCTTTCCTTTTTAGTGTAAGCTCCACTGTGCAAAAATGTGCATTATCTTTGGTATTTATTTTAGGTAGTCTAACTTAAAATTTGAGATAACCCATTAACATCAGGGAGGAAAAAAAAAAAACCAACCTGGAGACTACCATTTGGCTAGTGTTACATAATGCCCTTATGTAACCAGAGAGAGAGAGAAAGAGAGACAGAGAGACAGAGAGAGAGAGAGACAGAGAGAAATCAATTCTAGCAGACAAATTACTGGCCTCAAAAAATCAGGCTCTCGTTTTTGGCGGTTCATAGCCAAATACTTGCCACTTTGAAGCGCATATCGTGAGCTTTCAACAAAGTTCAACACTGACTTTTAAATTACACTAAAGAAAAACTACACGGCAACAATACAACGTGTGTTCATGTAGTTAGCAGCTTTTTCAAAAATTAAGGCAGAGTCTTGCCTCTGAAAACATTTAAAAATGTTATGCCATTAAAAACATTCTTGTTCCCGAAGGAGAAGCACTCTGGATAAGGTAAACACCCCACCAACCAAGGCTTGCCTGCAAGTTCAAGTTTTGTAAAAACACCACACAAAACACAAAGTGCCCCCGTTACTGATCCTACAGCACGCAGGTGCCATCGGGTCACGGGGAGGCCTGCGCTGTGCTTTATGTGAACCTTCGAGCTTACACGTCTGTCTCTGACGCCGTCGCGCGAGCCTCCGTCCCTTGCGGCCACTTGCCTTCCACCCCTTCCCCGGTACCGTCGTCTGAGTAGCTGTTTTGGGCCTTTGACCAGCGGACTGTGTTTGAAAGTCAGTCGTTCCGGAGGAGGAGCCAGTCATATCTCCGACTCCCGCCGCAAGGGCCTGGGCTCTAGAGGGACACTGGCCTGGCTGTGCAGGTCTATGCCCGGCGGCGTGTCCGTACTCGTGCTTTCCGGAACTCCGTTCTCACTGTCGTCTTCCTCTTTGCTCGTCAGGGCAACCTCGTTTTCATAGCAGAATGAGTTAGCGTTGGAGAGGATGTACTTCTTTTCCGCCAAGTCTCTGGCACTGCAGAGGGGCGTGCTGGGGACTTCGTAAGTCTTGTGGAACCTGGAATAGTCCACTTTGTAGTAGTGCTTCTCTTCGAAGAGGACGGGCTCGTAGCGGTGGCCCCAGAGGATCTCGTTGGCCAGATAAGAGCTCCGGCACTGCGTCGTCATGGCCGTGGCTTCCACCATGCCCTCCAGGATGACGACAATTTCAAAGTCTGCGTTGTCAATGTCCTGTTTACTCAAGTCATACAGGGGACTGTCTTCGTCTATTTCGTGGACGATGGTGATCGGGGACACCAGGAATATACGGTCAATGCCGCTGTCAAAGCCGACGTTGATATCTATCTGATCCAGGGGGATGTACTCCCCTTCAGAGGTGATTCTGGATTTGAGGAGCTGGGCTCGGACGTGCGCTTCCACCAAGTGGCTCTTCCGAAGATTCCCCACTCGCCACATCAGACACAGCTTGCCGTCTCTCATGGCGATCACGGCGTTGTGGCTGAAGACGAGGGTCTCGTTTCTCTTCTTCGGCTTCGCCATCTTGGCCATGACCGCACCGATGATAAAGGCGTCGATGATGCACCCCACAATGGACTGGAAGACCACCATGAAGACCGCGACGGGGCATTCGTCCGTGACACACCGGAAGCCGTAGCCTATGGTGGTCTGGGTCTCGATGGAGAAAAGGAAGGCGGCCGTGAAGCTGTTGACCTCCGACACACAGGCCTTGCTCTCCTTCGAGGCATCCAGATCCCCGTGGAGCAGGGCTATCAACCAAAACACGCAGCCGAAGAACAGCCACGAGAGAACGAAAGCCAGGCAGAAGATAACCAGCATCCACCGCCAGCGAATGTCCACACACGTGGTGAAGATGTCCGCCAGGTAGCGCTGGCCCTTCTCGCCCACGTTGATGAACTGAACGTTGCAGTGGCCGTCCTTCTTCACGAAGCGGCTCCTGCACTGCTGTCGCGTGTGGACTTTACTCTTCCCGTTCCCAAAGCCGTTCGCAACCGCCAGGGTGGCCAGCTTCATGCCGTCTTCTTCGGAAGAGACGATGCTGTAGCGGTTGGTTCGCACGCTGCCCATCGCTTCTGCTGTGGACGCCAGTGCTTCTGCTTTGGAAAACAGTCTGAGTTTTTGCAAAACCCTTTGGAGAAACAGTTTTGAATGTTCAGTGAGGACCCACACACAAAAAAATTAAGGAGAGATGGGGGGGCGGTCTCTGGGAGTCGAGAGGTTCTTTCTACCAAAGGCTTTCTCCTGTCATGCAGGGCCACCTAAGGAACTCAGCTGACATCCAGAGAACACGTCCTGCAAAAAAAAAAAAGGAGAGATCACTCACTACAAAAGAAGTCATCATGAAAGGGTTCTACTTCCTAAGGCAACATTTCCTAGCAAGAGTCAGAGAATAGCTAACTATACTCTACATTGAATTAGTGGGTTTCTCATTTCTCTGTACCCCCCCAAATATTTTTTTAATTTTATTTAAAAGCATGAAGTCATTAAACACAGAAGTTAGTTGTCTGTGACAGTCTTGCAACCAAAACCTTAGGTCCCCTTAATTTTTGCCAGCCATCTAGAATTATTCTGTTTTACAGATCTACCTGTCTCTTATCCTCTTCTTCTGCCTTCTCAACTTGCTAGGGTTCCAAGTGACTAAGCAGAAGACGACTTTCCAACCCCAAGGTCTGTCACGCAGCTTTAAGCACTCGGGCATGTCGCAAGGACCTTCCACGTGAATGCAGAATGTTAATATTAATTGAGTGGCAGGTGCATCGAGGGAGAATATTAGAGCCCTTGATGACAAGGGTAAAATTCGAAGGCCACAGACTATTTTGTTTAAATCATAAAACTGAGCAGACAGCCCTTAGAATCCCCTGAAATGGATCCCAATTTTCTGCAGATGGTTTGGGCTGGTTCCACCACTTCACACACTCCAAGCAGCCACTAGGCAGAAAGGCCAGACAGTGTCTCTGTTGGCGCAAGTGATTCTGACTTGAAGATGCAGGTTTGCTCTGGGGGATAGAGAGCAATTCCGTTGCCTAGCAATGAGAGTCCTGAAATCCTCCAGAGATGGGACTGCCATGTGTCATGGCAGGCTAGGAAGTAAGCACCTTTGTGCCAAAGGACCAGGTCGTTAGTGGATTGAGATAGGGCTGGAGCTCACTGCCTGTAGGTCTAAGTCTGTGTTTTCCCAAACAGAGACACTTCATAGGAGTAAATCATAGGGGTCACTCAGCTTACTTTCACTTGTAAAAATGAAAGTACTGTTGCTAGCTGTGTGTTCCTATGGGGAAGGCACTCACCTTTACTCAACATGAACAAACAGTAGTTTTCAGTTTTCTCCTCCTGCCTCCTTCCCCTCCTCGATAAAAACCATCTATTGACTCTAACTTTCTATTTTTTGCTCCAAAGAAACTGATTTTTCCTGGACTCACAGAAGCCTAAGAGAAAGTCTAGGGTGTTCTGTTAACTGAACATAAATTTAAAAAATTAACACAGCATGGAACTGAAGAAGAAGAGTGATTCTCAACTTCTCAACCATCTCCTGTATTAAAGGGGGACCGTGAACAAGAGATGGAAAGGATTCAAAATTTGCTGAAGCCCAGACGATGAGGACTTCATTTTTTCTCTCTCCCCCCAAACCCCATTAAGATAAAGCAGTTCACAGAACCAAGTGCAGCCAAGCCAACTGCAAACAAGAAAAGCAGAGCGTTGACCTGTTTTTTGTGCACCCCCTTAAAGAGAGGCAAGGTGCACTGTCTTTGAAAACGCCTTGTTACTGTCTTTTCATTGCTCCCTCCTGATCCAAATTATCATGCAAGAATGTGCCCCAACACATTTTTCCTGAGATTAGTCATCTGTGCAAATTGCAATGTGTGTTACATTTTGGCAGCTTTTGACACCTAAATGACGCCCGATTTGAAAGTGCCTTTGAATTACTTTATAAAAAGAAGTTACTGTGCCTTCTCGGTCTTCCACCTGCTTCAGTGTTTTGTCTGCTTCCCCGTGAAGTTTGTACTTGGACAAAAGAAACATGACTGCTATTCCTCAGGGTTCTAGATCCCGGACGTGAAAAGAATATTTCTTTAATAGTGATTTCAGCTTATCTGGCTCCTGTGAAATCGCCAGGCATTTCTCCACAAGAACAGATAGAAATAATAATGTGCCACCGAACGCAGGTGCCGCTTCCAAAAAAGAGGGGGAAAGGCCTCGTTTAAATCGTGCTTGCCTCTCTGAGTGCTGATTGACTTCAGCACCTTGCATTATAAGCTGACACCAAGAAATTCTCTTTTCATGATTCAGAACAATCCTTCCATCTGAGTTACCATTAGGGGCCATGAGTAGATGGTCTCAGATTTCTTCTGACTTATTTCTGCCCTCTTTCCAGATTAACGCATAACAACCATATGAAACCTAAAGACTGAATTAGGACTTTCCAAAAATCTTGACCCCAGGACATTAGTTTGAATTCCACGACACACACAATAGCAACTTCCTACGAATAGCTTTCCGCATTTAGAATCTTGAAAATAGCCTGTATTGAGCGACTATTATTGCCTTATTTCCATTGCTAATAACAGAATTTGTTCCATATGCAGAGCATCATTTAGAAATTCTACCATTTCTGCCTGGAAAGGGGAAAAAAGATTTTTGTTTTTGGCAAAATGGAAACTTCTGTCACTTCCAGCAGATATGCTCCAAAACAGATTCGTGCGTGTATATGTGTGCAGACACATTGTGTGTCTTCAGACTTCCGTGGAGCCGGTGACGTAGCAAAAATCTAGAACCTGCCAAAGTTCGATAGGGTCATTGTCTTAATATTTCACCGTGAAGAATCTCTTTCCTGTTAACCTGCCCACATGCCGGAGTGGCTGCAGGCCAGCAGAAAATGTCCCTGCCTGCTCCTCTCACCCTGAAAAGCACCAATTCATGAGCATCTGGGAAAAGAACTTCAATTAGGAAGAGGACTTTTGTGCAACTTCCTTTTAGGGATATACTCTAAATAATTTTTTGAGAAATATTTGATTAAGAGTAGATGAGAACCTCAAGTGATCTGATTTCTTCCTTGATGGGTACAACTCAAGAGAACTGATCCTGGATTTGGTGAACAATGTGTCAATTCCTCCCGGTCATTCAAAACATGTCAGGGTCTGACATAAATTTCATAGACATAAATAATCATTTTTACCCAGGCTATAACCAATGAGGTAGAAAGTATTTCTGGGAAATTGAGAGGCTACATGTGGTGCTGTTCATGTTAAGACTATTTATAGGCTGAGCCAAAATTAAGCATAAGCAATGGAAAAAAATAGTTCAGCCCTTCAATCTCAAGGTAGATGTTAAAGGGGAGAGAGCCGTGGACAAACACAAGGTCAAGGAGATAACACGGTGTAAATGAATGAACCCAGATCATTTTTGCCATAAAGGAAATATTGCCAGTATAGATTATAAAAGAACAGAAGAACGTAATCATGAAGAATACATGAGAATAAATGGGTCCCAGAATATGGTCAGGGTGTGTCATGACTAAGAAAGTTTCTCAGTAGGCATAGGCGATAAGGATAGTAAAAGAAAGCATGCTGTGCTGAAAGAGAGGTCGGCTAACGAGTTTTCAGAGCAGCTATTCCCCAACTGACGCCATATAGACCAGCCTGAGTGTGCCCTGGGCGCGTGTTGCTATGAGAGCTCACTGCTAGCAAAGCAACCTCTTAGAAGCTCAGTAAACATGAGGGAGGGGAAGGGGCAGGAGGGGAGGGGAGGGAGGACACCTACTTCTCTATGTGAGCACGATAACATTTATGCTCAACAATGCATGGAGCACCACTCAGCACTAGGAAGTGCTGAAATAATCTAGTGTTTGATAAACAAAAATAGATACAAAAAAAAAAAAAAAGCTTGAAACACTCCATCTGTTTCAGGTAAAGACATGGTCAGTCTTTCATGCTACCCAAAAGTCAGGCAAGGACTCTACGGCTAACTAGAGATTCTACAAGCCGAGAGTCAGAAGGAAGCCAAAATACTCTGTGTCATTTTTTTTAAAATGCCAAATTCACAAGAGTTCAGAACAAATATTCCTATGGATACGAATAACGCCAAAGAGAGTGCCACCAGAGCATGAGGGGGAGGGGCTGAAAGCAAAGTGGAATGACCTTGACCCCAACTCTCACCCCTCCCACCATCCTTAAAGTAACATCTCTTACTCCTGAGCATGGGAATTTTTCTGGATAATGGCAAACAGAAATAAAAGACTTGGGGTGAGGGTGGAAATGAGCAGGAAAAAGCCAGCAAGTGTACAGGTTAATACCCAGCAGACAGCCAGCAGTGGTTAGTGAGAGGAAAGAGGAACAGCTACTGATTATCAACGTGAAAAGGAAACAAGAGCTACAAAGCAGTATGCAGTCTCTACATTCCCAAAACACGTTCTCCAAGAATGCCTTATTTCTTAACAGGTCAATTCTGAGTTTATGAAAATCCCCAGGATTCACAGCCGTATCCTAGTTACCATTCTACTGATAGGATTACCCAGACGCAGACAGTAAACTGACTGGCCATTTCCTATCTCGATTTTTTTTTTTCAATTATCATGATGAGTTTCTGTTATGATGCAATCTCTTACAGAATCAAGTCGTTTTGACCACTGTACTTCCCTGAAACCACACTGCCTTCAACTTCGTTTTAATAATATTATTACTAAGAATACAAGCTGCCTAGGGGGTTGTGACATAAGATGTGAAAGTTTTGCGGTCTTCAGGCTCAAATCCAACTCGAGCTCCCGCTCTCTTCCCCAGAGAAGCAACTTTGAGACGCTCGCTCTCGCTTTGGAACTCGAAGCTACACTTGAAGCAATGACAAAGGGAAAAATAAAAATAAAAAGGGACGCCAAGGATCAAGCCTAGTGGCTAAGGGCCAAGGTTTGCCAAGATTTGAGACCCGTACTCTAGACGCCTTCCCCCCGACCCCCCACCCTTTTCCCTTAGAGCGAGGAACAACACAGGATCACTCGCCCTTGTCTCCAAACTCACTATCTCGCTACAGCTGGTGCACTGGAAGTTATGAGCACAAACAGATGCTGCAGAGAAATCTGTTTCTATTGCTCAACTGTTCCAAGCATGTCTCAGTATTTTTAGCTCTGGGGATGTTCTGGTGCGCACACAAACTCTATAGGCATGATCTGGGACTCCGGAGCGTGGGTGAGCGCTACAGCAGCGTGACAGCTGGGCACCTCTGGGGCGGCCGGGTAGGGTAGGGTCGGGGACGGCAGCCCGAGTCCACTCCCCAGGATACACAGGCAACGAGAGAACAGGAGGGAAGAAAACACACCGCAGCCCTTACCTGTTGCTGGCGCTGGAGCATGGGGACATGGAGTGGAAGTGGGGGGGTTACAGAGGCATGTAAGATCCAGTAGTTTGTAAAAGCGAGTGAGCCAAAGCAAACCAGAATTCCCAAGACCCAGCTTGCCGGCGCCGGGGAAGGCTGCGCGCTGGCCAGGGCTCCAGTGCGCTCTGCAATATCCTGGGCTCTTTTGAGGCCGTCCACGAGATACCGCCTGGCCCCGCCCCCGGCCGCTGCCGGCCAATCGCAGCGCGCCTGGCCACGCCGCCGGTCCCGGGAACCGCGGCGGGGAGGGGAGGATGCTACACCCGCGGCCCGCGGCGCTGCCAGCGAGGAGAACCTGCCGTCGCTTCCTTCCCCTCCGCCCTCTGAGCTCCGTCCGGGAGTCCGGCCGGGCAGGGGAGGAGGAAGTTGCGCCCCAGCTGAGACAGCAGCAGGTGGGAAGGTCCGCGGCCGGGCTTTTGCGGCGGCCTAATTGCAGCCTGGCTTCCTACCCCTGTCCGAGCCCCACACTTCCCTTTTTCTGTGCTCGGTGGCGGCTGTGCCCTGCGTGCATCTCATCGGGCTTGCGAGGTGCCAGTGTCCGGGCGAAACGCTGGCAGCCGGGAGGCTTGCGTCTCAGCCCGGGCGCGTCTTCCTCCCCCCTTCCCTCCCACCCAGAGCCCCCGCGCTCCCCGAATCTCCCGCAGAACCAGCGGTGCGCCGAGGAGCTGCGGATTTAATGGGGAAAGCGACCGCGACCCGCGCGCTGAACCCAGCTGGATTTAGACGCGCACAAGTGTTGCAGCTGCCTAGCCGCTCGGCTCTGCCTTCTCCCGACTGTTGGAGAATTACTTACAAAGCGCCTAGACTGCTCTGAAGGGTGAACGACTCGTTCCCTCTCGCACTGTCCGCCCTCAGTCGCTCCACCAGCGCCCGGCACGCTCTGCTGATCTAAAATCAGAGCAATTAAAGAATAATGAATTCTCTGGAACGGCAACTCCTACAGACACAGCTCTGCCCTCGCATCAGCGCCTCCCAGCCCTCATTCCCAGCAACCAGGCCGGAGCATGTAGACCCTTTTCAAAAGCTACCTGAACCTCAGAGTTACCGGGTCTGGATCCTGACAACGCTGCAGATTAACCCGTGTGTGTGTGTGTATGTGTGTGTGTGTGTGTTGAAGAGAAGTGCATATATAACGTGCATATATCTCTGAGTACTTTGGTGTCATAACGAAGCTTTGCTCTTAAAGGACACGGTATATTTAGGAGTCTCTTCCTTACAGCAAGTTTCAAATCCCCGTGTGTGTGTGTGTGTGTGTGTTGAATGTTTATTTCCTCATGCGATCAAATGTGTCTTCCGCGCAGTTTATTTAAACCTTTGAAAGGCCTCCTGGAGACGCCAAACTACTTCACAGACTAGCTCGTATTCTGGGCGGCGCAGCCCGGATGGATTTGTGTGTGTGGGAGAGCTGAAACTGACAATTTAAGGAAAGGGTCTGCGCCGGTCGGTACCCACTTCCTAGCCTCATACCCGCAGACGGCCCCTAGGAGGTGCTGCTGAAATACGCTTAGGTTTTGCAGATCGTGCTTAATCCAGCGTTAGCGAGCGTGCCACTTTTCCCAGCACTGAGCAAGACACTGCGATTAAAAGGGTACGGAACAGGTTGTGCACGCGGTGTGACTCTCTGATGATCAAACGCACTGCTGTTTCATTCCTTTTGTTTAGATTAGGCAGTAGTCTAGGCCCTGTTCCTGTCTTGCCTTTTAAAGCCCTCTCGGTGGGAATAATGCTTCACACCAGGGAGGTCTAATCTCACATTTATTAAGCCCAGTATTATTTATAAACAGTTTGAATTAACTGCAAAATAGATGGATGTATAGGTAGCCAGGCTGTAGCCTAAAGCTAAAAGACAAGACAGACAAGTTTACTTTACGTAGACAAAGGACGGAGGATGAGGAACAGCTCACTGCACTGGCATAAACTTCTTCTGAAATGTGTTTCCTCATGGATTTCTTCTAAGAAACAAGCCGGAGAGGTCTAATGAATCCTTTGAAGCATATTAAACCTAAATGGAAAGAGGAAATTAATCATTTATATATGTTCTCTTCTTTATGATGATTCAATCTGGACATCTGTAGATGGCTAAGAATTTTCCAAACCACATGAATTCAGAGAGGCAACATTTTTTATTTCTAGGTAATGCACTCTTTTTGAAAACCTGTCACCCAGAAAGAGGTACCATTTCTCTGGAATTAGGATTGAAATTCCCTTACTTTAATATGCTACTGTAAATAAACTGAATACACCACAGGCCAACGTAGTTTCATATGACAGGAAAATCTTTAAATAAATGAGTGCAAAGTTATAAGATTATGGTTATATAAACTTACTTATGGGAGGGAGATTATATATATATAATCTATATATTATATATATATATAATATATATATAAATATATTATATATATAATATATATATAAAATCTCCCAGTCTTTCTCATCAATGTCAATTTCATCTCCCATGGAATTATGTGAGCAAGGCTTATTTACTGCAGTAGAAATTTAGAGAAAAGTTGATTATTTTAATAAGCAGCTTCCCGATCTGAATAGAACTTTTACCTTAATTTTTAGCCAAATAAGGAAACATAAGAGTTAAATATTTTGAGTAACTGAAGCTTTGTAAATGTATGACAGTATCGATTAAGTCTATTGCTTCATCTCATACAGAAAAATATAAATGTGCATTTTAATTAGTAAGTGATTTTTCATTATGTCCCTATTAGGAAAATTCTAGTGTTCCAAAACATTCAGTGCTTGGGTAAATATGCTTTTTGGAGCAATGCGTGATACAGATTTCTCTAGTCAGAGTATATCTTTTTTTTTTTTTTTGGCAGAATCAGTCCTTATTTAGCAAAAAAAAAATCCTCATTAGTTTTGGACTCCAGTGCAGTTGGGTGTTGGGATCCATCTGTGGATTAAATTTTTCCAAGGAAGTGACAGTTGTGCTCTTAGTGATTCCCTGCAGGGTAACCACCTATAATATTAGAGCCAAATATTAGTCACAGTCTAGATCTGCAGTCAGATTATGAATGGTCGCGTGACGCAGATTGTTCCACTGGGAACACAAATCTTTCCTTTGCATTTATGTAGAAGTCACCAACAATTAGATACATTTTCAGACTTCCACTAACCATATATGCATATAAGTTTCACAATGATAAGAGATGAAAAAAAAACCCCTGCCATTTGCATCTGCTAGGCAGTAAGAGCCACTTGCTAGTCTTCGCCATAATAATTATTAGTGATAAATACCAAATAAATAAATGTTGTATTGACCTGAAATACAGACAGGATGAGTTTGTAATCTGCTGCTATAAGGACAAGCCACCCACTATGGTATTTTAAGCCACTGAATGTAATCTTATCCATTGGAAAACTGCTTCGGCAATTTTAATTACCACATTGGTAAGATTTAATCTTTGTATGAAGTTCAATAAAGGTAGTTGTTGAACAGCTACTTCGTACTGCAGCTCTGAGCTAGGTGATATGGGAGACACACGAGCCCTGGGAGAAAGAGCTCCTTCTAAGAATTCAAAATCTCCAATTGAGAAGACAGACAAGGCACAAGTGAAACCAAATGGCCAAACGACAAGATAAGGCAGCCTATGATTAAGTGCTAACATGGACTGTGAGAAGAGAAACATCTCGAGAATTTCTGAGCAGTAGAATAAAATGGAGTAGCATTCACGGGGAAGTCTTTAGAATGCAAGACTTCACACGTATGACCTGATAGCGTTGTAGTTGTGTTAGGATGCTGAGAGCATACCGGAAGACAGGGGTGTCCTCTCATTCAGTTTGGTCCTAAATGCCTGTTACGTTCCCAGCTCTGTCTGTATACATGTGATCATGTGTATAAAGTCTAAGCTGCTTCTAAGAATGGCGTGCCCTTCCTGCACGCAGCTGCCTGCACAGACAGTTCCCCCTAGACAATGGGATTTATTCCACAAGCCTTATTTGCCATTTGTCACCACTGTAGCACACACTGCCTTTATTTATTTATCTGGCATACCTGGGAATGCAGCATATC